GTGAGCCGAGATTGCGCCACTGCACTCCAGCCTGGGCAACAAGAGCAAAACTGTCTCAAGACAAACAAACAAACAAACAAAAAAAAGAGGATAGAGAATCAAACTCAAGTCAACCAAATCCACAAAGCAGTGACCACTCTACCACGGTCCCTCTTAGAGCTCCGCGCATCTTGTTCTAACTCCGGTTTCCGGCGCTGGCTTCCCCCAAGGCATGTGTGAACTTTCTCACACGCATCCGCTCCTCTCCACTCCCAACTTCCAGGACTGTAACTGGTAATACAATGAGGATGAGTGTGAAACCCACGTATCAAATACCACGAGTGCCCGTGTCTTCCCATAGTTCCCTGTACACAATTCGGATCCAATGCACGGTCCTACCTGCCTTCCCAGCCGCACAGTCCCCACTGCACCCTCTGCCTCGGCCAGGTTGGCTCGTGGACTTTACCACAGTTTTCAGTGTCCAGCCTCCCTGCCTCTGCTCAGGCGGATCTTTCCTCCGTCCTTTGTGGCTTCAAGGCTCAGCTTACAGGTGTCTGTCTCCTTCATGAAGGCCTCCTGGATTGCTCTCCTCCTCCAAATGCCCACACGATAGGAGCTGTACAGTTTAGAGAATTCATTGCTTTCTCCCTTGCTGTCATAGTTGGGTACGTATCTGTCAAGCAGGGGCTAAGCGGCCAGGAAAGGCCTTTACCAGTCTGACCATAGGACCTGCATGAAGTAGGTTAGTCTTGTAGAATGATGTAGAATGATGAACAAAGAATGAATGAGTGAAATTTCTAATCACCCATTAGCCTGTATACTGGAGGTGTCTGGGATAGAGTGACTAAGTGACTTTTATTTTTGTGTGAATATTAATAGAAGATTTCTTTTTTCTTTTTTGAGACGGTGTCTCACTCTGTCACCCAGGCTGGCATGCAGTGGCACAATGATGGCTCACTGTAGCCTTGACCTTCCTGGGTTCAGGTGATCCTCCCACCTCAGCCTCCTGAGTAGCTGGGACCACAGGTATGTACCATACCTGGCTAATTTTTTTTTTTTTTTTT